GCGCAAACCTCCACAGATGCGCGTCCAGTAATAGGTGTGAGACGAATACGGATAGACTACCTGGGATTCAAGCATCTTGTATGTAGGCTAATACACAGGCACACAGGTTACAGTCGTCATCCAGCGTGTTCGATTCAAGATGAAGCACTCTTATGCTCAAACAAATGATCAGGCTCCAACACGTTAACAAGAGTCTGGCAAAACACCTAGGTCTTCCGTTGCGCAAACCTCCACAAATGCTAAGTATGTATTCTGGTCCCAGGTACTCCGTCTCGCCGTGCTACCATAAAGAGGTTCGCACTTTATTCACATAGTTCGTGGCCAACTTGGTCTTTCGTTGCGCAATTTTTTCATGATGAACGTTTTCTACGAAATATCTGTGCCTAAAAATCAGAAGTGATTTACAGGAAATGTGACCAATCCCAGGAACTATTCGGGACTTTCGTCTGAGAAGGATTCAATTCATAATCAGGCTTCATGTCACTAATTGATGTGAACCGTCTGAGTACAGGATAAGTGGCGTGGAGTGTAGCCCAGTCGCAATTGATGTGAACCGTCTGAGTACAGGATAGGTGGCGTGGAGTGTAACCCAGTCGCATAAATGACCAGCTGTTCTTGATCAAACGGTACGGCAGTGAGTCATCAACGAGAAGGTCGTGGGCTTGAGTGGCTCTCGAGTTTCGTAACACGTCCTCTGCTGAGGATTTCCCGACAAGGATGAAAAAGGTGTATAGTACAGCCTAGCTTCGCCCTGTTAGACTACATTTACCCGCCTTTTGACGTTAGTCGCAGCTAATACAGCGGTCAAGGTGTATAGTACAGCCTAGCTTCGCCCTCTTGGACTACGTTTACCCGCCTTTTGACGTTAGTCGTAGCTAATACAGCGGTCCGTGCTTCAAGTAGCTCAGCGGCTAAGGCGCGAACTTATTGACCGGAAGATTTGAAAGCGATCTCTTCGTCTTGACTAATCCTGTCTAGGCTTGCAAAACTTGGCGGTATCTCGGTGTCATGCTTTCTTCGCATAGCATGGAAGCTAGGCACCAAAGGGGTGCTACAGCTGAACTGGGTTAGTGAATTCGGACGGTAGAGTGATTTCGCTCCATTCGGAATGAAAAATGATGACTATTGGGAATGAAAAACCCAATAGCGTCTCGGGGTGTGATGCTGATAAGAAACGAACTCTGGAAATAAAAGAATTTGCCTTCAAATTCGAGCGTAAGTTTCCAAGCCGTTGAAACAACAGCGTGGCGCCCGAAAGTCCGCATTGTTAGATTTTAACAGTACAGCGAAGAATTCTGAGTGAGGCCTTATTTTACGGTAATTTCGTTTTAGTTCAACTGAAGAAGTTTATGCACCACGGCTTTTACCTCCAGTCACACGTTTTGACAGCTTCTGAGAAAACTAAAATGCCTTTGGATGATTGGAAATATCGCAAGATTCCCCGATGACAATGATTTTTTTGTTCTTCATTGTGATAAAGTTGTCCTTGAAATCAATACACAATTATGGAACCAGGGGTGGGATGGCCCAAGTGGTTAAGGAGCGAATTCACTCACTGGAAGGTCCGTGGTTTGAACCCGACCTATGCCTCTCGACTTCACCTGTGTAGGCTTGAGCAGTATCCCGGCCCTCGTGCAACTTTCAGGTGGCATGGCAGTTGGGCACTGAAAGGGTGCTAGAGCTGGACGATATGGAGCCAGTTTCGTACACACTGCCCCCTTTAACAGCAGATGCTTCGAAAAAGAGCGCTAATGAAGTTGCAGTTGGATAGATCAAGATTGGAAAATTTAAAGGCGCTGACATTCAGTATATACTTTGCGGACAAGTGCGAGTTAACAACAAGCCATCTTGAAAACCATGAAATCTTTTCCCATCAGATCTCCAAAGGTTTTTTCAGTGGTTGGCCTAAGCCTGTGCGGTAAGTATTTTACTCCTTCGTAAGGGAAACTACTCACAAGGTTGCTGAAAACTCTTCGACAGCCCATGACCGGCTTCGCCCTTCTTGGGGCTCATCAGGTAGTTTCCGTCAACCTTATGTTCTAACTGAACCCTTCCTTCCTTAAGGCTTTATCATCACACTGCTGGATTGTGTGAATGCACTTCAGTCAGGCAGACTGGTACCGGTGAATACGTTTTATTCAGTTTATGAACGCTCGCAAAAGTTATTCATTTTCTTGACTTTGAGAAAGCTAAATCGCCTCCTTATTTGTGGATACCTTTGTGGCCAGACCTATCTTCAAATAAATTCTTGTCTGTCCCACACCTGTGTACTGCCGGAATTATATTAGAAGGAGCTGCAATATGGACAGTAATCTATGCGGACAAATACATCGGTAGAGGTCACTCATCAGATCACGCGTCACAAACACTCAAACCACGTGACATTTCCTGTCCCACTTGCAACCTTAGTCGACAACTTGTACACTACAACTTCCTATCCATTTCTGTTCACTCGGCTACTACTTGCGTTGCGCGCCATGAACGCTTACGAGCTTCAACCTGTAGCGGTTACCCAATCTGATTAGTGCATCGGAACCCACTGTCTCCCTCGTGCTTTGTTTTGTTCCGCATCCCACAGCGTGCATCACCAGACAAGACGTGACTTGTCTGGATTGATGACAGCGCCTATATGGTCCCTCTCTAAAGGGGAGTATTTGTAACGCTTATCCTTATGCTTAATTATTCCTCTAATCAATTTCCCACCGGCACCTACTACCCCATTCCATTTCGTCTGTCTCACAATCACGCGTCAAAATCGTGACATGAATACGACATGTCAAATCCCGTTCCATGACGTTTTGAATGACACCAGGTGATTTCACATTGTTTTCATGTCCCATTCGTTGCA